ACCACTACCTTTGACTACACGACATCATCGGTATGTGTTGGTGATGGTGGAGCATTTCTCCAAGTGGATTGAGTTGGTGGCATTACCTGACAAGGCGAGTGAGGGAGTAGCATATGCTTTCCTTGACAGGGTGCTTAGTCACTTTGGTGCACCAGCTGAGGTGTTGACCGATCAGGGGACAGAGTTTCAGGGTGAGTTTCAGGTCTTGTGTGACAAGACGCTGATTGATCACCGGACTACTTCCCGAGATCATCCAGAGGCGGATGGTTTGGCTGAGCGGATGGTACAGACGGTGAAGAGAGCGTTGCGCAAGTATGGCCTACAGAAGGGGCATCTTGGGAACTGGGATATTCAGTTACCATGGTTGGCCATGGGATATCGATTCAGTCGTCAAGCATCCTTGGCTTCGTTTTCACCATATTTTCTATTGTACGGCCGAGATCCAGACTTGCCTGCAGCGATTCGTCGTGAGTCTAGCGAGGTGGTGAACCTTGATGATCCAGATATGTGGGTGAGAGTGTGTTCTCAACGTGCAGTGCTCTTTCGGAGAGTTATGCCTGCAGCGTTTGAGAACCTTGCGATTGCTCAGCACCGAGATACGTTGCGGTATGCAACTATTCGAGGAGGAGGTTATCGACCATCGATTCGTAGGTTCCGCGTGGGAGACTACGTCTATCTACAGCAGACTGCACCGACTACGTTGGATGTGACGGCAGGACGCACTATCTTGCGAGTGCGAGAGGTGTTACCTTCTGGAGTTCTCATGTTGGAGGGTCGTGACGGTGTCGTTTGGAAGGATCATGTGCGCAACTGTGCGCCATGCCACCTCCCAAACGTGGATGGTACTATGGACCCAAGCTTGGCGATTGTACGTGCCGGCTTGAGGTGCATGTTATGTGGGTCAACTGATCAGGCGGCCCATATGTTGGTGTGTGATAGGTGTTCTAGAGGATGGCACATGTCGTGCTTGACTCCACCTATCGATGTTGTTCCTACTGGACGGTGGGTTTGTCCTCGATGTACTTCAGAGGGTAGATGACTTGATCTTCACATGTTATGAATTGCAGATAGGCGACTAACGATGGGGCGACATAGCACCCGGCCTACTGGTTCGCGCACCCACGAAGGTGCATAGCATGTAGTTGTAGATAGGGCTACCTGGGAGTCAGAGGGACCTGACCGCCAGCTAGGGGGGCGAGTTGTGATACCTTTGTGTGTGGACACTCTCGTTCCTTGTGTATGTATGTGTGAGTTGTGAGTAGAGCATGTCAGCGATGTATGATGTATGGCGATACTGAGTCGCACGACAGCTGTCATGGCTCGAGACGTTGGGTCGATTTGAGTGGAGACACGTTGAGTTCGAGTTGGAGTCGGGGAACGTTGGGAGTCGGCTAACGTTGGGCCGCGGCAGACGGGCGAGGAACGTTGGATAGAGTCGACACCTTCCGTGGGTTATATTCGTGGCGAACTCGAAGAACTGTCAGTTCTTCGAGTTGAGCCTTACGCGTCGGGGTTTTTCCCCTTAGCTTCGACTTTTAGTCTACCTACGAGTAGTGAGTTTGGCTTGACTCTTTGTGTATTGGTGTTTCGACATCCCTTTTAGTTGTGATACCTTTGTGTGTGGACACTCTCGTTCCTTGTGTATGTATGTGTGAGTTGTGAGTAGAGCATGTCAGCGATGTATGATGTATAGCGATACTGAGTCGCACGACAAATTTTTGTTTAAGCATTCAATCAAATTTGTCACAATCATCAATTACACAAGAGACTTTCTTTTGCAATTGCAGCATCACGTTGAGGTCTAAAGCTACTTCGTATTCAATCTGCAATATGACAGTAATACATTTTTGCTAGAATGTTAAAAAAATATTGGTAATATATCTAAACGTAACTTTATTGTTTGTTGTAGGTTGACTAATCTTGGATCTTCTAGCAATTGCATAGATAGTTTGCACACTGATGATCACAATAGTTGTATAAATTTTTTTGATAATATATATTATTTTTAGCTTGCGGTGTGAAATATGTTTCATCTTGTATTGGTACTACCTTATTTCTCCTTACCAATGGTTTTTGCCTTACTTAATCATATTCAACAAACGTGCACAACATTGTTGAATTTAGTTTAGAACTTATTGTATGTTCTATCTTTTCTCATATCCTATGAGTGAAGACACACACCTATTGAATTACTCAAAGCTGTCAAGATTCTCCGCAATCTCATAAGTTGAATTTGTGCTTGGATTTCTTTTAGCCAAGTTAACAATATTACTTTCTTGTCTTCCAATCATTTTTCAATGAGACTAACAATGTTGAAGATTATTGACGATGAAACAAGCATGTGAAAAGCATTGGAAAATCAAATAGCGATAAGATAATATGACAATACGTTTATTAATAATGTACATTCTTGTAGATATTATTAAATTTCAAGTCTCTACATATAACATGTATTTAAAATATGTGTATCGTGTTTAACAATAAGTAACAAAAAACAAATAAAAAAACTAGACAGATAAAGTTTGATGACACAAAACAGTTTAAAGATCAAAACTCATGTTTGAAAAAAAAACAAATAATAAAATTGAACAGCAAAATTTTGATGAAACAAAGAAATTTAAAGTAAAATGTGTTTGAATAAAAGAGTAAAAAATAAACAAAAATAAAATTGGATAGCAAAAGTCCTATGAGACAAAGCAGATGAATTGCAAAAATACTTAAAAAGTAGCATTAGGGGTAAAATCAACTACATCACTAAAAATTAAGAAACTGCTGAAATTCTAATGATCTTTGTATTGTTGTTCAAGTAATTATACTGAGACAAGTTTGAAATGATTCTTACGTTATTAAATTCTAAAAAAGTGTAATTGGTTGCATAATTGTAATGAAAAGCTAAAAAATGCATCATATCAGCAATAGAGTTGGAGCAAGATCATCACATAAATAGTTATACAATGCATCTTGTCCATCATATGTATGGATTCAACTCCTAGTCATGACAAAATGCAATTTAAAACAATTAGCCAGTTAATAAACATTATCATGCACATTTTGACATTGATAAATTGAAAATCAGGTCGCGCTTTTAATCTCTTTTTGCTTTTATCATCATTTTGATTGTTAAGCTAACTTGATGCAACTATCAAAATTGTGAGTTCTCACTTTATCAGCAGAATTCATTTTAGGATCACGTGTAAGGATAAATCTTTGATGTGTTTTGAAATTTTTAACTTTCACTCAGTACAGTTCAAGGGTTCTTCAAGAGCTCCGTTGAACGACTCTGTTTTCTTGTTACATAGAAGTCATCCATTGGAATCTTGTGTCTACAAGGTGGATTGTATCTAATCCAAAATTTGTATTAGAACATGATTGAAGGTGTGCTACAAGGACCGTCCGGAAATTTCATCCAGTAAAATCAAAGGTGTTGGATCCCAACAAGTGTTCTGTATCCGCAAAAGTTTCATCAAATAATTTTCTGGCATAATTACATACATCCCATAAAAGATTAAAGAAATGACAAGTAAAATCATCATAAAGTAAATGTTGTAGTTGGTTGTGTGATATAGAACATAAATGTGATAAGCTTAAAATCAAAAGTCAAATATAACTTCTATATGTTTTCAAGATTAAAAATTGTTACAAAAATTCCAAATATAAGATCTGAATTCTTACTTGAAAAGTTGATTTCAAAAGTACCTAGCATGTGAATAGTTTTTAATAAAATTTCTATTATATAGTTATTAACATTGACATTTATCAAAATTCCATATTTGAAATTATATTATATCATTGAAATAAATCAAAAGATTCATATCTTTTATTTACATATACATATGTGCACATTTTTTTCAAATCTTATGATTTGAATCATTTAACTTGATAAAAAAATTCATGTGATAAACGATAAAATTTATCACGATATAAAAATAAACGTTATATTTATCACTTATTATATTTGAAAGAGACAATTTAATGTCATACATCAATCAAATCTTAATGCACAAAAAGTGATGTAAACAATTTTAATTTGGTGAGTCAAATCATGTGTATGATGAAGTTTTTTTTAATTACAAGAAACCTAGAATAGAATAATTAGGATGACAAATAATCCACTATGATAAAAATACATTGATATTTGAATTCATTTTATTCAACAAGTTATGATATTTGAATTCCTGTTATTGAACATGTTATGAATGTTGATGCGGATAATTTACAAATGTAAATTCTTTCTAATTTAATCTTCTAATAAAAAATATCAATTGGTATTTTAAATAAATTTTGAATTCTATTTCTGATTAAATTCCTATTAGATTTCTATAATTCTTATATTAAAATGTTGTGTTAAATTTAATTATAGTTTTTTTGGAAATAAGCTTAATATCTTTACCGCTAGGTAATACTCTCTCACGTGAATTATATATATGTTGCTTGGTGAAGATTGAGTTGATATCTCTTTACTAACTCGTTGAGAAATGAATAGATCACATGTATTTGCTGGCTACAATATCGAATATGCGGTTTGCTGTTATTAAGGAGCGTAAGGTAGATATGCATATGCACCAGTTCATCTCACAAGAATCTTGCACATGTCTTGTGTATGGATAGCTAGTGTGAAATGATTCAATAAGTGAATAGAATTCCAAATAGAACAATCGTACTATCGGTATTGTGAAATGTGTAAGGGTAGCAAATGTGGACCGATTAAGTGCGTGGTAAAAGTTCCAAACGGCCCGATCGTACGACATGTAGCTTTCGTCCGCACTTGCTTAGCGTGAACACAATCTGCCACCGGCGAAGGCAAGTTCTGATTATTCGCCTTCGCGGGTGGGATCTGATAGTATTCTGGAGATAACAAATAATCAATAGTTCATTCGTTTGCCATCGCCTTGTCGACCGGAGGGTCTCCCAGTGGGCGTGGAAAGACATTACCGAGAGTATTATCGGAGTATCAACCGAGTGACATTGCAGAAAGGATGGGAAGACCCCATCTTCGCGCGCCCGTGACCCGGTCACGGGCCCGAGATAACGCCCGCCAGTGACCGGTGCGGGATGCCGGGGGTTTTTGGGCGACGGAGTGCGGGTAGGGGGAAGTTTGTCCGGACTCTGTGGCGATCGTCCACATCCGGCATTTGATAAGCTGAGGTCAGCTGATCCGCTCAGTCGGATAGAGGGGGGAAAGAGCGAGCAGAAGACGAGGAACGAGAGCAAAGGCCCGTGGAAGCGAAGCGAGGTTGGGTTCCGTTAGTGATCGTGTCGGAACGAAGCGCAATCGGAGAGGCCAAGGACACGGGCTCGAGAAGAGAAGCGAGAATTCATGTGAGCTCGAAAGCCCCGGAGCCGAGCTAGGGAGAGGAAGGGAGCGAAGGCATGGCGGCCACGGCGACGGCAATGTCGATGAGCGTTGCCTGCACCGGCAGCTCGGGGATCTCGTCCCGGGCTGCGGCGCAATCCGGGAGAAGCACAGGCGTGGCAGGGCTGCTGAATCTCGCAATTTGTCGACAAAATCTGGGACGAGTTTCCTTCGGCTGCAGAGCGCAGTCGTCGAGTATGGGCACGGCGGGCGAGAGCGCCAGCGCCTTGGCTGCTGCTGTAGGGAAGGTGCGAGGCTGGAGAAGTACGCTAGATTCTCTGCGGGACAACGAGAGGGTGTCGATGGTGAACTCGCTGGAAGATTTGTCTCTGGAATCCGTCGCGGACAAGCTGGAGGTGGTCACGTCTGCGATGATCGCCGGAGCTCTGGTTCTGTTCTTCATGCTGGCCGGTCCCTGCCGCGCCAGCGCTGCCGAGGCTGCAGACTTCACGTTGTACTACGGCACAGCGGCCAGCGCTTCGAGCTATGGAGGCTACGGCGGCAACACCAACAAGCGCGACAGCGCTGAGTACACCTTCGAGTTTCCCACGGGCTGGAAGGAGCGCACCATTTCGAAAATCGAGAAGGGCACCAACGGAACGGACAGCGAATTTCTCAACCCCAAGCACAAGGAGGAGAAGGTTTATGTCACGTACCTCTCAGGGTTCAGGCGCCTCGCTCCCATGGACAATGTGCTGAACAACCTGGCGCTGTCGGATCCCGTGCTTCAGGACATTCTTCAGCTTGCCGATGGCAACATCACGGCCAAAGACAGGACCGATGCCTCGGGGCAGCTGTACTACGACTACGAAATCGACAGTCCGGTGGCGCATGCTTTGATTTCCGTCACTTGTGCCAAGAACAAGCTTTACGCCCATTTTGTCAAGGCCGGAAACTCGGATTGGACTCGAGATCAGGAGCTTTTGCGACATGTGCACGAGTCCTTTTCGACCATCGGGGACGTTCCCCTTGCGCCCCCTGGGGAATTTTAGACGGAGACGACTTACAGCAGCAGCCTCTCGCATGCTTCCTAACTGGACATACTAATGAGGACAGGAGTGTTATATCGTTTTCTTTGTAAATGTATGGTTTCATACAAATCTGTACACTGGTGTATCATTTGAAAATATGCAGAACAAATTAGTTACTTTGACCTTCAATACTTGAGGTGCGTATGAATGCTGGACTCTTTCTACACCGAAATTCAGAATACTCCTCTGGACCTCTCCACGGGGGAATGTCACTCACACTGTACCGTGTATTGTTCATGTCCTAGAAAATTTGCAGTTACATAGATGGCGGCTGGAAACTGTAGAATTCGAGAAATTTCCGGCTGTCTTCATTGCCGCAAAGTGAGGACTGGCTCCATGACCTGGGGATGCGAAACATGATTTAGAGTATTTGGGTAGAGTCGTGTCGCACCAGTGAAGTACTGCATAAAATCATGCTAGGCAACGACGGGAAAGGGAGGACTTTCATGCATGCCATCATCTCTGCAGTTAGTTCTGGAGGATGTAGATTGTACTCTGTAATGTGCCAAACAAGCCTCAAAGCCAGGGCTTCTAACGATGTCTCAAGTCAAGTCATGTAGCTTCTTTCTCCCAACAAATTATGCAGTGAATTTTTTGCATGTGCTTAGATCAAGTCCTCAGCTGGATAATATGTCCTCTGTCATGTCTTCCAACGTATAATGACCTATACTTCATTGTAAGAATTGTTGTTGTAAGGTCATGTTTGAATTTTGTACCTTATCGTATACTAGACTAACAATCTTCGATACTTTTTGTGACCTTTTGATGTTGGCAAATGTTATTCGGCCTTGCAGCTACTCGACCGGGTAGTCCTAGATATACGCAGTGATCACAGCATTAGAGCCCCGCTAAGTTCGATATTTAGGAGTGCCCGGCCGAATAGTAATACCACACGGCCGAAAAACATTGGCCTTGATGTTGGAGAAAGAGTGAGCACTCAAGTAAGATCAGTGTTTCCAACGCAACCCTCCATTTCTTGCATAATCTTTGACTGAGAATCTAGTAAAATTCGAACCAAAAACACTCCGAACCCCGAATGTCGTGAGTTTTGTGAGTGGGTAGAATTTAAGAGTACATGAAGCTGGAGGTGCAAATGTGATTAGACAACGAATATCTCATGTTCTTATCGAGCTCTATATGTCAGCTATATTTTACTTCTTCACAAGCAATGTAGACATATATATGTGCTTTTTATGCTAACTATGTTATAAGGAGTCAGATTCTAGAGTTTAGTCTACTCCTCAGATAGGGAGAAAAATATGTGGAATATTCAACAAATAGTGTAGGGCAGATCTTGTGGCGATATAGTCACATCAGTAACCTTATAAGAGTTTTGATAAACCCAAGTAGCCAAAAGTCGAAGTAAATTTCTCAATGCTATCGAAAGAAGCTTTGTGTGGAATGGTAAGGTAATCATTCTCATAAGTCCACGTTTTTTGAAGTCCGCATCGCGGAAAAGGAGGCATTCTGGAAAATTAGAAAAACTATATCAACATATAGAAACGCTCATTTACACAAATCCAGAATTGTGAAATTTCACTAAGTGGTTCTTGGGTGTCTTTTCTCTCAAAAGCATCGAATTTGTCCCTTTGATAATGTTTTTCACGGAAATAATGATACTTAATAGACCGCTAATCTTGTCTTGAAGGAATAATCGTGTCGATGGTAGATCTCGGATCTTTGCTTTCAAATCAAAAACTTGAAGAAAAATGTTGGCGATTGAATTTTTCCCAAACTCTTTATTTGCATCCAGTTCTGAGGGCATTCTTCATCTGTCCCACCTTATTCCTGATTATCTCCATTGTCATTTTGGTGTTCAATATGTTCAATGACCGCTTGCGAATACTCTTCAGAATTGGTTTCATCTACATACAAAAAGTCACAAATCTCTTGAGACCCTGAATCCATTAAAAAATGCGCAAGGGTGCAATTTTCATCATTGAGTTCAATGCGGTGACCATGTGATCTTCTTCTTCTTCAGCAGTAACTTGATCTGCCAAGCGAAACTTTGAAATAAATTCTTAATTCCTGAAACATTTTTTCAAAGCCCCAACCCACATAGCATTCCATGAGGTCACAAAGTAGTGGCGGCATCCAATAAATGGGCAGATCTCCCGATCTCTACGCCAGCTGCTAGACGTTTTAAATTGCAAGCATTTGCTTCTACAGGCTTTAATCTATTTAATGAGATCATGATAAGTAAGACCATCTCTCATGAGCAAAAACCGGTAATTCTTCTTCAATGCAACAATGATTCCCATATCCATAGGCTGCTTTCAAGAAGTCATATTTTGTCGTAAAAATATCGCTCTTGTAAAATCTTTTCCACATGGTTGAAAATGTATAGGGGCGTTATCAAGAATTAGAAGAACCTTCTGGCCAGTTGGACAACGAACGAAAGGCCAAAAGGCTTGTTCAAACCAATGATTAAACACATTCATGACTTCTTCTGACCAAAATAAGGTAGTGGTCATTAACACCCTGAAATGCATTCCAGATCTTTGGCTTTACAATTCATTGCAACAGGAACGCATTCACTCCCGGTCGCATTGCAACAAATAACAATGATGATTATCTTCTTGAATTTATTCTTGCCACGACAGTAGACAAAATCTTCAGAGGGCAGCAAAATAAATTAAAGAGGCAGCAAGCAAAAATAGAGCCATCTTTCGTACATGTTATATACACAATTGGGATTGTACTCTTTGATAATTTCCTCAAGCATCTGCAAGGCTTCAATTGCCTGAGGTTGTTTTGATTTATTTCACCGCCTTCGCCAAGAAGAAGGATAGACTGTAAGTCCCGTCTTATACAAATATATCCGTACCAGCCCCAACTCGCTTGGAAATTCTAACATACCGGCATCGTTTCTGCAATTTGTTTCGCCTTGACTATTATCAAGGCGTGAAGTTCAACATATAGTCTTGACATCCTTCATCAAATTTTAAGAGTTGGTCTTCTAAAGCTCAATGCTGTTGTTTTGCAACCAAAAAAGTAATTTTCCTTGAAATGACTTCCATATTGATCATACGAACTTTGTTCTCATCCGCTGCAACCAAGATGTTGCAGATGGTCTTATTATCGACCCAGTAGTATCTCTCAAGTCTCCTCATAAACGTCTTCTTTTCTGCGGCATTCTCCATCTTCTCGATGATTATTAGACATTGGGTTTGGCTGATAAAGCTTCCCTTTGCCTCTCTTTACCCGTCGTCCACAAGCCACCCTTTGCCTCTCCTCACCATTAGTCTCTCCTCTTCTTCGAGAAACCATATTGATTAATAATATGAAAAAAACTGTGCTAAGTCCTCAACCTTCGAATTAGGCAACGATTTCATCTGGAGATCAAGGTGCGGATTCAAGAAAAAGATTTTCGTATATGCAAATTAGCACGACTTTTCTTCTACTAGCATGGTTCTTCATATAAAAAAAATCATTGTTCCATAATCTATTACTGGTAGTAAAGCAGTTAGAAACTAAACACGTCAGTCTTGTATGATTATACAACACTTATGGTTCTTGCTTTAGTTCTATCAAGTTGTGTATTCATTTAGTTGAGGTTAGACATATCATGACATGACATATCATGATATGACATGACGTCATATCAACCATATTGGACAAACCTATCAATACTTATATATCTAGCTTCATAGCTTCCGATAAGAAAATCAAAGTAAGTAAATGGCATGCTCTTCTTTGGGCATTCTACACATCTCTAGATTCCAAATAAATATATGGCATTATAATAACCTAATAATAATTTTTCACACATAAAAAAATCTACTTAAAAGATCTGTATACTCTTTGTCTATATGATGTTTGTGACATTTTCATCCAGTTTTTACTCCTTGATCCATCTGATATCAACTGTGTTTTTCAAAGAATATCACAAAAAAATATCATGTATATATGTATTTGTATGACAAATTACTCATAACTTAATATATAGTCGAATAGTCACTTGAAATCTAGAGGTGTGTAAAGTAATTGTTCAAAGACTATCACAACTACTCCACCGTATGAATTCATATTACACTTAATAATCTCGGAGAACAATCATGAACATATTATATGGCCCATATTTACGAGATCAAGGAATTTTGGGTGTGTGATTGAAAAATTAAAATTTCCAATTGTGTGGAAAACTAGGCTTTGCTTTAATGAATCAGGGAAAGTATGTTTTCATTTATGAGATGTACATGAATGAGGGTTCATATTTCTAACAAGTATTATCACAACATAATAAAGATGAATTACACTTGAAGTTACAACTTGATCTTTTGTCTACTTTCTGTTTGTTCATTAATTGGATGAGATTCTTTTGTGTAACTTAATGTAACAACAATGTACAATCTCTAATTACTTCTTACCAGATTTGATCAATGCTCATACTAACAAACTTTGACCTATAGATGCTCTAGCTTGAAAAATAATGCAATTTGTGCATCTTGACGGTATCATACACCAACTTAATTTCTACGTCGATGAGAATTCTATTTGGCCTGATCAATACACATCTTTATGTTTATTAGATCTTAGATCAAGGTACTAGCTGATCTTAGATCAAGGTACTAGCTTAGAAGCATCATGGGCTGATATGATTCATAGTCCCAATATGAGAACCAAAATTGACAAGACATGATTTCTTATAAGAATAAGATGTTTATTATGCTATAAATAGTATGGATGTCTTCCATGAAAAGACTACAGGTATAAATTGCACTGAACTCATGCTATATATGTCTACCCTTCAGTTGTTGTTGCAGACAATTTGGTGATATAGACGACATTTGACTTGTATTTAGACCTCCAAATAATAAGTGTGCAAGTAGAGTACTGTTTAGATAGTTCAACGCTTTGTACTCTAAATTCGTAAAATTATACATCTCTAGGTATAGATTTTGACGTGTTTATAGAGAGAACTTATCATAATAGCCATGGAAGTATAACTTTCTTGGGGTTTTTGTCTTGACTATTTCATGCAACATATATCAATTGTTATGAAGAGAGCACAAGAGATGAATGAAATTAGAGTATAATTCCTTGGATGCCCTGCTAAGACGTTCGATAATTTGATATAGATAGTTAAAAGACATGAAGAGAGTATAACAAACTTCTAGTTGTGGTAGTATCGGATCATACAGATACATTACCGTTCTGGTTTCTTTCTGTCCCACTCTATCGGATTTTCCCATACTTTCTACAATATAACTTAGTACCATAGTATAACATCGGGTGCCCGAGCCTGAAAACCAAACCGTAACCGTAACCGCCCGTATCCGTAGGGTATGGACTGGTACGGTACTAGATTTGAGTGTACGGTTCGGATAAAATTCTGTTTTTTGGTTGACGGTTACGTTAGGGACTCTATTTATAATATGGAGACACAAAATTGCTTATGGTTACCATTGGCAATGGAGCATTCGTCATTGCACACCTATACTATAAAAAGATATCAAACAACTTTGCGTCCATTCCGCATCCCACAATTTTAGTGCAAGCTTACTACTCGGCATCGCTGTCCAAGTCCAAGGATGTCAATGCTCTCAAGGCCAGCGTCCAGGCTTACCTACTCAAGCTGATGCATGTGTTCTTCAAGCGAAAGGCGCATAGCAATTGGCACAAGTCAGCTGTTTGGAAGCAATTCTCTTACGTCGTCGAGCTAGCCACCAAGAAGCTCGCCAAGTTCAATGATTCAATCCTCCTCTCCTGTAAGACCTGCATATCGGTGTACGTGTTTGATTCCAACATGAACATCAACGTCAACTTCTCGCGCGGCTTGAACGTCATGGAGCTGCTACAATCACCATCAGCTATAACATCACCGACTAAGCTGCGCAAGACTCTATCGACCGAGATCCTCAAGCACGTCGAGTCAGAGTTTAAGATGCGAGTACGATCGACAATTGGACCGACGATATCAATAAAAACTCATTCCTTTCCGTCATGAGCCAACTGATCAATTGTGATTTCGTTGTGCATCATCGCATCATCTTGGCGTGTTGTCCGTCTTTCGGCAGTCACACTCCTCGCATAGTCTTGACCAGGATCCGGTCTATAGTGGAACAGTTTTCTATCATGGATCCTGCTAGTGTGACCGTCGTCAGCAATCGAGTATCCAACATGCACGCACAAGATGGTATATTGAGCTATTATAACTGGTCCGCCTGCATCGATCACATCATCGCAACAATTATCACGACCGTGTTCACCAAGACAACGAAGCAAGTCGACGTCAAGAAAACCACCCCATTCTACAAGCATTATGAATATGTTCCAAATTAGTTTGATCTGATCGATCACTACAAGGCGCTCGCCACGTATGTCAAACATGCTGGTATCCAAGAAGAGCTGGATAAAACGATCAAGCAGGAGAACGTGACGCGATGGAATTTCTGAGCAGCTCGTGGTGACGTTGACCGTCAAGAAGTCGGCGAAGATCGCACATATCGACGCGGAGTTGCTGCTCATCACGTTACTTCAGCCGTTTTAAGAGGCCACATTCGCCATGGAGGTATTCAAACAGCCTACGCTCCAACGCGTGTGCTACTTCAGGTACAGTCCACTCTTTCATTGTGATCTAGTCACTGGGGAAGTGTACTACACTGCGAGTGACTGCACCAATAGTAAGATTGCAAAGGACTCGGAACACATCCTCATCATCAAGCCAATCATTCGACACTTAATCGAGGAAAAGTTCATCATTCAACAAATTCACGTCTTCACCATCTTGCTTGACCCCAGAATTAGACACCGCGTCAAGTACAACCTGTCCGAGGAACAGATTGGCAAGGCCAAGGAGAATTTGAAGTCATTGATGAAAGAGCACATCCCTAAGCACGACCAAGATGACGATGAGCGCCGTCCTATCAAGAAGCCTAAGACAAATCATATGCATGGTCGCCGGCAGTTGGCAGAGTACAGCAAGCAAGATGATCTGGACGACAACGAAGGGGAAGCAGCCAGACATATCAATAGTGTAGACGAGATTGCAATCGAAGCTCATACTGTTAAATTCAAATTGGCCCAGTATTTCCTCCATAGCTTCAAGTACAGCGATAGTGTCATTAAGGAGCATGTTATTCTCTTTTGGTGAAAGATTCAGCAAACCTCCTTTTCCATCCTTTCTCGAATCGTTTGTTTTGTCTTAGCCATTCATGCTTCCTGTGCTAAATCAGAGTGCAACTTCTCATTCGCCCGCAACACCATGACTAAGAAGCGAAATCGGCTCTACCCATCAAAACTGGAGGACTTAATGTTTCTACGATCTATTCTTCTGTCCCGCCGATCTCATCACTTAACCTCAATAAATCCTCGAGGATTTTTGAGTTCCGTCGCGGAAGAAACGGGTTCGGGTAGAGTACGGGACACTTCGGATACAGGCGGGTACGATTGCGCTTTCGTGCAGGTAACGGGTAGAGTTTTTAAAGAAATGTTATTCTCTGCTTAGTACTACTTATGAATGTGGTTTTCTTGTCTTCGTTTCAGACACCTACAAACAGGCTTGGCGTTCGAAACTCGGTTGCCTTGGGTGCCCACAAATGTAAATTATCATCAATACGTCCTAATCTCCAGACGTGTAACCTTCAAACGAACTACGCAATTCTCCAATTTGGAGTGAAGGCTTCATGGGTACTGAGCGTTAATCATGTTCAACACCTCTGGCTCGTTGCGAGGCTATACATCATGATATTTGTCGTTGCAGAGTTGGCGTAGTAAATGAAAGCTCTGCATCTTCACCTCTAGTCATTCTTCTTGTTCATCAAGAGGCGAGGAGGTATATGGTGTACTGCCCGTAATCAAGGACGAATCATAGAAGCGACATTTCCAAGGGAAACAAAGTGGCTAATGGGTCGACAAAGATTTGGTCCATTGCAGAATAGTGTCAATTGGCTAGGCGGCTTGTGTGGATGATGCCGCATGGCGATGGTTATTTCCAGATCAAGGCATTCCTGTTTTGTACCACATAACAGCAGTGGAGGGTGTCAATTCAAGCATGTCCTGTCAGGTTTAAAGTTTTCGCACTCAAGCAAATTTCCTCAAGTCAATAGTAGAGTTTGTCCCTACCTGGAGAGCCAATCCTCGAGAAGAATAGATCAGAGAAAACTGGGAGTAATTTCATGGAGTTTTCTGTCACGGGAGTGGATATCAGTAACAAAACTCCTGCCCGGACAATTCAAATGACTTCCTCCATAGTGGAGATGACCAACTTATTTGTTGTTGCGACACTAGATTTTACTCGTTGTTTGAATCTGTGCACGGCATATCGTAAGGGAATGTAGCAGATTATTTTCTCGTTTTCGACGCATGCTATTGACAACTTCATGCAGACGTTATCAACGCTAAAGGATTCATACGCAACCGCAAGAAACACTACACATACGTCACAGATACCAACTCAGACGCTCTAGATAGATATACTTTTGAATTTGCATTTGACCTCGATCCATCCTTAACAACGTTTACTCAACTTCCTACACTGCTGGAACAATTATATACAAGTTGAATCAAACGTTAGGGAATATATCCTCCCCTAACATAAAATTTGCCTACAAGCCGGTAGTGAAGACTACACTACTAAAAAGCATAAATATAGAAAGTGCGGACTAAGCGGACTCGATTCATTCGTCATCTTCTAGATCAACTATTACTGGTAGCGTAGACTTTTTCTTCTTGCTAGATCTGTATGGTGAAAGGGCCATATCCAGGGACTCCCCTTCAACTTGAGATGAAGCAGATCCTCGTTTGCTCCTCCTGGGAATGAAGACAGGAATAGATCCCGACCGATCGCCCATCTCCTGGTCCTCTTCCGGTGGCTGAGAAGAGGCCCTGGTTTTCTTTCGCGGAGTCTTTGTTGCAGATGGTGGCACCCACTCATCCGCATCCGCAGATCTGGAGCTCTTTCTGCCTCTAACATGGGTCCCTTGGTCAGAGGGGCTCGATAAATCTTCGAAAACCTCATCATCGTCTACGACTTTCGCTTTACTAGACTTCTTACTTCGGTTAGGAGTCGCTTGGACGGCGAGAGTTGATGTCTCATCAGTGTCGTCATCAATCACCACTCTGGCCTTCGAGCCCTTTGGCCTGCCTCTGGTAGGAGTGGCTTGTACAGAATGGGAAGGTGTATCATCGGTTTCGTCATCCGTGACCACCTTGGCCTTGAGGCTCTTTGGCCTGCCTCTGGTTGGAGTGGCTTGCACAGAAGGGGTCGGTGTATCGTCAGTCTCATCATCAGTAACAACTCTGACCCTGGAGCCCTTCGGCCTGCCTCTGCTTGGAGTGGCTTGCACTGATGTCGTCGGTGAGTCTTCAAACTCGTCTTCAGAAATGACCTGGGCCTTGGAGCGCTTCCTGCCTCTACTTGGAGTTTGTTGGACAGAAGTCGGCGGAGCTGAAGCTCCAGAGTCTGAAGAGGCTTTAAGCTTGCCCTGCTCCTCCGTCGAGTACAAAGCTGGAACTGAAGCCGGCACCTTGACATCTTCGCTTGCTTTCTCCTGCGGCTCCTGAAGCGTAACCTTTTTCCTACTTTTGCGAGGGGTCTTGTGTGGGGTCACAAGAACAATAGGTGCCTCATCGTCTTCTTCAAGCTTATCTTCTACCTTCTCAACGACAATGTGAGGAGTAGTACCTCTCGTGGCTATTCTACGGGGTGTTGGTAAAACGGGCGGTAAATCTCCTTCTGACTCAAGAGCAGAAAGTTTCGCCTTCGGCTTCCTGCCTCTTTTACCCTTTCTCGAGGTGGGTGACGAAGATGATGGGACATTGGCCATTGTCTCCACATCCCTCTCTGCGGAAGCCTGAGTCATGCCAGTAAGTTCTGAGGATGTCGGAACGGCAATCGCCAGCTCTTGAGTCCTCTGCACCGTGCCAGATGTAGCCTGGGAAAGCAGACTATCTACTGCTTTGGCATCAATACCTGCTACAGCTAGTTTACCTGGTACTACCTCCGCATCCATGTCAGTTGCGACCTCGGAACCTCCTTCAAGGTCACTCGGAACCTTATTCGAGTCGACCAGCTTCGGCTGAGGAATAGATTCCTGCGTTTCCAATTCCCCCATTTGGACATGAGATGCAACTGGAAGTGTATCTGGAAGCTTGTTCCCAGTTGCCTTCTTCCCTCGCTTACTTTTGCCAGATGGTTCATCCGACGCAAACGGGGATGGAGACCTCGCTTCTGTAAGGGCATCGTCTTCGATCGCCGCGTGGGCTGCAACATCCACATTTTCCAGTGACTCCGCGTCCTTGTTTGCGGCTGACTTCCTGCCTCGCTTACTCTTACTCGAAGTTTCAGCTGTAATAGAGATGGGTGATGCAACCTGCCGTTCAAAGTCATTCTCGCTTGTGAGGGGGACTGCAGAGATAACTGTCTCTGCTGCTTCTGACTCCTTGTTCGCGGAGGCCTTCTTGCCTCTCTTGCTCTTAGTTGAAGGCGTTTCAGATGTGATTGACAAAGGAGATGCAAACTGCGTTTCAAAGTCCTTCTCGGTTGTGACAGGGACTGCAGAGATATCTATCTCTGCTGCTTCTGACTCCTTGTTCGCGGAGGCCTTCTTGCCTCTCTTGCTCTTAGTTGAAGGCGTTTCAGATGTGATTGACAAGGGAGATGCAAACTGCGTTTCAAAGTCCTTCTCTGTGGTGACAGGGACTGCAGAGATATCTATCTCTGCTGCTTCTGACTCCTTGTTCGCGGAGGCCTTCTTGCCTCTCTTGCTCTTAGTTGAAGGCGTTTCAGATGTGATTGACAAGGGAGATGCAACCTGCGTTTCGAAGTCCTTCTCGGTTGTGACAGGGACTGCAGAGATAACTGTCTCTGCTGCTTCTGACTCCTTGTTCGCGGAGGCCTTCTTGCCTCTCTTGCTCTTAGTTGAAGGCGTTTCAGATGTGATTGACAAGGGAGATGCAACCTGCGTTTCAAAGTCCTTCTCGGTTGTGACAGGGACTGCAGAAACAAGGGTCTCGACAGTCTCTGTCTGCTTGCTTGCATAAGCCTGCTTTCCTCGCTTACTCTTGCTTGAAGTGGTGGACGGAGGTGATAGAACCTGTAAATCAACGTCCTTCTCGCTGTTAACAGGGGGTGCAGAGATCACAGTCTCCACTGTCTCAGTATCCACGTTAGCGCTGGACACCTTACCGCGCTCACTGCTCTGCATCAGAGATTGATCCGAGGCATTCGCAAGTGCAGCATTCTGTATTCCAGAATCAAACCCGATGATGGCAGGGGATCCCGAATCCACTTTCTCCATCGTCTCGATTCCCTTGACCTTCCCTCGCTTAGTCTTACGAGATGTCTCCACTGAGTCAGCTAGCGTAACCGGAGGTGCTGCTTCCTGCTTTTCAGGATCCTCAGCACAGATAGGGAGCTCGGATGGTTCACTATTCACTGTCTCCGTATCCACAATCACCTTCTTTCCTCGCTTACTCTTGCTAGATGTTCCGCTTGAAGTCACGACAACTGTGGGAGGTGTTTCCATCAGCTTGACTTCCTTCTGATTTGTAGGCGTGGGAGTAGAAGGTACACTGTCACCTGTCTCTGTATCCTTGTTCGTAGTGTCCTTCTTCCCTCGCTTGCTCTTACTAGATGTCTCACTTGAAATTCCGAGAGCAGAAAGAGGCGATTTCAGCAATGTAAATTCGTTCGCCGATTCGACAGCAGTTGGAGAATTCATTGCGTCCAATGCGTCCGGATTTTTTTCTGCACCATCCTTCCTGCTTCGCTTGCTCCTTTTAAGACTCTTACTTGAGGATCCAACAGCGGTTTCCTCTCCGATCTCTGCTGCTTCAGAAGCTGAAGTCATCACCATTTCCACTGTAATAGGGTCCTTGTCCCCTCTCACTTCCAAATCTTGCTTACTCCTACTCTTCCGATCAACTGGTGGCTTACGTAAGGCTGAAACTCCGGAAGAAGCTTCCACCATCTCCTGATCAGGATCTCCCTCACTCACATGAGAGAGATTGGGCCCTGGTACTGCTCCACACTCAACCTGTTCTGTAGAACCTTGGACAAAACCTTCGGGCATCTCCTCGACCAAGGGCAACACCGAGTTAGGATTTGCTTCACTGCACCCGAGTTGCGCATCGATTTTCTCATGATCCTTCCTTCCCGTAACTTGTTTGTCTTGCTTATTACTCGACTGGATCTTCGGCACAGGAAGTAGTGTGCTTTCAACCATTCTATCAACCATTCTATCAGCATTCTCGTTTCCACACAACTCATCCTTTGAAAGCACCAGAGGGTCAGTTGGCACCCCCACGGCTTCCAACATCTCTTCGTCTTTGCCCTTTGTTCCCTTAGCGTCTTCCTTCACCGTAGGAGGGTTTACTGGGTTTGCAACCGCCTCCTTCTCAACCTTTTCGTCTGATTCCTTGGAACTCTTCCGAGAGTTCTTTCGTTTCTTCTTCGACTGCTCTACCTCGTCAACTACAAGGTTTACAATAGGCTCATCATCTGAGCTAGAATCCTCTGCTAAAGCAGGATCTTCTGCACTTGAATCATCCTCTACCATATTAGGATCTTCTGCGTCCGAATCCGAGTCTGAATTTGACTCCTCTAGTTCGGCCACAATTTTCTTGACCTTTTTATCACTACCTATCGCTGCATGTGGTAATCGCGAATATATGGGTCCTCGTTCCTTTTCCCGCTTCCCTGAAGTCTTGCCCTCCTTGATATCCTTAGCAGCAGCAGTGAAAGCCAAATCGGCAGCAATATCCAGACTTTCTTCTTTAGCTTGACCGGCAGTATCAACGAAGAAAAGGTCTTCCTCATCTTCGTCTTCCATGTCAAGGTCATCACCCTTGCACTCGCCATTTGCATCGTTGTAAACAACTACAGGTGTGAAAGCTGTCACACACCTGTCAAATATTGATTTGAATGCAATTTCATCCGAGGTAGATGCCACCCAATCTGGTGAAAATAAACGAAAAGTCAGGAAAGGGTAGGTGAGATGATAGAATAAACGTCCTGGCCATGTCCAGGAACATTATCGAATTTGACTACCACAACTCTTAAGAAGATAACTATTGAAATGAAACGGATGTAATATTTACTTAGAAAAGCTTGGGAGCCTAAGAGCGCTGTCACTGGAAGGAGATGCCTCTTTTGCACTTGCAACCACTTCATAAGCTGTGGAGGTGTGACCCAAGAAGCAATTCGTCTGGAAATGGTATCTGCTCGCATTCGGTCGTCCTGTGCTCTGCGTAGACCAAGATACACGGTAAGCAATGGACTTAAACGTTATTAGTGAGATTCTGCAGGTCCAGATGAAAATGAACTCCATCTCCGCTGACGAAATCTGATGTGATAGAAATTGAAAGGCAACATTCAGCTGAAAACTCTGTTGACAAAGGCTACGTGCAGAGTGCGAAGAATGATTTGCAAATCACAAACATGACACTTACAAGTAAAAAAATTTAGATGCAGATACACAACAAACCTACGGAAATAGCTGTTTCTTTTACACATCACACCCCGATTTCTGGGTTAGCGGAGAATGCTCATGACTTCGACAAATCCGTGGACTGGAGAATGCTGGTCCGTGTACTCTGACCAGTCCACGAACCAGACTCATAAGCATATGCTTAACACAGCCTGGGCCAGTGGCACAATCAAAGAGATAGACAGGGGATGACTTCCGGTTCGTGGATGAGTGTCATATTTCGGGGTGGAAATTGCAAACAAGTAGATGAGCAGAAACTCTCAGTTAGCACAATAAATTGAACCTCGAGATAATCAACTGTAATACCATCGGTGATACCTCCATGCAGTCCCACATAGCAAGTCGCTGCGCAGAAAACCTTAAGACATTGGCAAGAAGGCGGGCTTCACCTGAAAAGCTGAATTGCTCGTCTTCCAACAGCGAGCTTTTTCATGAACAGCACGTTGTTCGAGTCTACGTTCTTCTGAGATGTCAACTCAAATAGCCCGAACTCTGGTGGATCAACCAAAACAGCCTCGATAATACATTCCCTCACGATCTTCTCCTCTTTGTCATCCTGCAGGTTAAACCAGGTTGGTGTGAGGTATATATCTTCTCAGCATACGATTAACAGAGGGACAGCTTAAACAACAATTATCTGCTAGTCATCGCAGATATTACACTACGTTGTAAGTGACGGCGCAAACACTCTATGCTTATGTAACTCGACAATAAGACACACCATCAAATCCCCAACAGGTAGTCGTTTCTCCAGCAGCATATCCAGCAGCATTTCTGACATCCACAGAAAGGCCTTGTCAGAAACAAACAGAGAATGACAGTTGCCACTTCAGAGAACGGACGTATACTACATGGAGAAACATTCGACTCACCAGGTGGGGAGAAAGTACTTCCGGTACATATCGAGTATCTTGCCAGAGATTTGATCTTCTCCGCAAACTCATGTCCGATGCTGGGCACTTTCATCTGTTTCTTACATCTGCTACGCCAATCAATGGTTTCAACTAAGGCTTGTAGTAATATTACTTCCACAGAGACAACTTCAGCAAGGACAGCTGAATTCAAAGAATCTCTATTCAAAATTTTCATCATATGCTTCGAGGCCAGAGGAAATGCTGGTTGTACACATTCGACCGATTTCAAAGCGATATGTTCCGCAGATGGCAATGTGGTAACGATCCTGTATTCCGGAAGGTCCCTCCTATGACAAACAACTATGAAACTAAGAATTTCTCTGATCGTTGCTTTCATTTTCCTCACTAGATTTCGAGTCTTCCTTCCATCCAAGGAGTCCGGATCTCTAACCTTGCCTTTTAACGACCCCACGGACTTATGCAACAAGGTAACTGCGTCATGGAGCAGAGCTACAATGGGAGCCATGGCAGCTACCGCCAAATTTCCACTAGTATTCACAGCGCTAAGAGCCTTCATAGAGATTAACAATTTGCCAACAAAATCCAGAATAGAGGCACCCTGAAGCAAGGGATCTGCATTAGTCTCCAGATGCGTATATTTTTCGGCGGCAGCGTACGTCCACCACAAATGAAGCGGGGAATTCTGCCGAGAGAATAAAAGACGCCTCAACGTAGAGCTCAAAACTGCTCCGTTCTTCCCCGAAACTTGGGCCAATCTCTCTACCGCTTCCGTAGCCTTTCCTACCGCTTTGCGATACTCCACTAATGTCAAAAGGGAATCCTCCCGAGAAACAGAGGCCTTTTGATCATCAGAAGCCATGCGATACTCCGCAATTCTCAGAATTAGCTTGTCTGCAGCAAGAGAAGCAGTCTGCTCGTCTACGCTGTTGCCATTCTCCAATTTCGTCAAATTTAAGGCTTCAGTCGATTTTATGACATTTGGCTCCCGATTTTCGACCGAATCGGAACCTTTCCAACCCTTGGACTTTTTCCTCCCCATGGCTGAAACCCGGCTCTAACCTTCAGAACTATCACCTAGTCTGCGCAAGAGCCACACGTCGTGCCTTCCTAGAAGGCACAATTCCGCACCCAAAATCTCATTATCAAGCCACAAACCCTCAAGGCCCTTGTAAGAGCCACCTCTCTTCTTCTTCGTCCAGATTTCCACCTCGGGAGAATTTCGACTGATTTCAATCCTACATCATACCGCAAAAATGACGGACAAAATGAATCCAGCTCGCGCAAGGAACTTCACACACAAAGAGTGAAACCCTAACCACAGTGTATAATTCTACAATCGAGCTCCCCCCTACGGCGAAGACGTTCCCAGGACCAAGGTAATGTACATGTCTAAGCTCCAAGACTACAGTACCCTGCTCAAACTAGGAGCAAATTTGGTTTCTTGAAGATGAATTCGATTCCTGTGACAGCACCCCCTGAACCTCTTCGTTGGTTGGATAAAACCCTAAACCCCCCTCCCTTATTCCAGAGCACCCGCCACGGGAGGCAGGGGTACGTTCCACTGGGGCTGCCCGTTGGACAATACCTAGCAAAGGGTCGTCTCTGAGCTGCCGTATTCCTGAATACAATGGACGGACGTCACGGAGTCGGAACTACGGTTTTGGGCCCGAAAGTGCTTGTTCCTCACGGACGCGGAACTTAATTGGAACTCTTGGACAAACACGGAGCCCGACGATAAATGGGAAAAAGTCCACAACACGTTAAAATAGAACAAACTATAATGAAGAAAATGGAAGATGAATAAAAAAAATGACGATTCTATCAAATTCGAAGAGGAAGAACAAAATCGGGAAACTTCTGAATGATTGGCATAATTATTGCAAACATCACCTTAAATATTTCGAATATAAAGACACAAAAATTTACAAATAATATGAGCATACGATGTCAAATCAAATAACGGTATTGAATTTCTATTTATAGTGTTATCATATGTTGCAATATACAAGCTATAGAATTTGATAATCATAATGCATGGTATAATACGCTTTGCTCATCCTTCTTACAAGGCCAGGGATATCCATTGCGGCATTGAGTCAAAATTTGCATCCACAATTCAATATGTTCCAATGCTACATATCCACACAATAAGACTTATTGGGGCTAATCCAACTGCAACGCATTTGGAGTCATATAAAAATTGCAAAAACTTGTTTTGTCAACCTCAATTTCAAACCAACAATGTTATCCAATATGTGAATTAGAAACATAAAGACGCGAACTCGTGTTGTAAACTTGAAGATAAAATATATCTCATATGATGTAAGTCTATATGTACCATTTTGAGTCTCTTGCACATATTCCAATACTTTACTTATCTAAAATCACAATGCAAAAAAGAAATTGAAGTTAAGGAAAATGGACGACTAAACAATAATGCTAAAGGTATAATCTTCTTCATGGATGATAGACTTATTGTTAATAGAGTACACTCTCCCGGCTCATCGTGACTCCTATGATAGAAATCAAGTCTCTAGAGATAGTAGGATTTTATATATTCCAAAAGGAGACAAAGTGAATGTCTATCAAGAAATATATTTTGTCTTTAAATTAATTTACATTGTAATAGATGTCATACAAAATAGCTTTGGTTTTTCTATACAAGAATAAGAAATGTAGTAACAAAATTTGAAATTAAATTTTTGCATAAAAACATGGACAAGTGTACTATCAATACTGAAAAGGGTTATTATATAAATAATCAATTGTGGTATTAAATGCATAATGCATAATCTTTCATTGCATGGTTTAAATAATTTGAAATGAAATCCTTGTATCTATATGGATCTTGTACTTAATGCATTTATTCACAATTCTTTCTTGAAATTTGAATCAAGTGGATGAATTCAACAGACTTGTAACTTAGTTGTTAAAAAAACATACCTCCTCATAACTATAACTAAACTCTTTTCCATCTCACAGCTAACCATTTTAACTATGTCTTTTATCACATGTGATTTTTACCAAACCTTGTCATATTAGTTAATGGCTATAAAGAAATTAAAGCTTTTCCTATTTTTTGGTCTTATTTTACTTATCTTCATTCATTGATTATTAATGTATTGTAGAGTTCAATCTTCAAATCCATATCACAAAATTTTTAAAATTGAAAAAATGAAAGATAGTGTACAACATTATAGTAAGATGTCATCATGAACTTTAAAAAACAAACTAGATGCAATATTTGTTAGATATAAATTTTACTTTTTTAAAAATTATGTCATAGAATATGAAAAAGTTCAAAATAGTAAAATTTCTACGATTTACAATCAAAACATTAGAACTAACATTATTTTAGATGATATTTTTATAAATATCATACACAATATTCTAGTTACAAATTAGAATGATAAAAAAAACTAGAAAATGTGAATCAATTTATCATGCGACATACAATGTGATTGCTCACAAGTATAACATATCATATTGCTTTAAAATACAAAAGCATTGATTAAAATATAGCAATAATTGAATAAAAATAAAATAAAATATCATTTTGTATAATATGCATTTGCTTATTTTGAGACAAACATGCAAAATTTTGATATAATATATATTTATATCCTGTTTAATATAAATAATTGGCTATTATTACTATGTCTGCCACATTTTACAAAGATTAACATATCATCTATATTCAAGCATGGTTGAAATATACAATCATGTATGTCGGCGCCTAAATGATCTAAACGTGCAATCGTTTAGGTGCATAAATTAAAGTGTGTGGGATTTGACGCTTAAATGAACAAAAAACGCAACAGCCAACGAGGATACGACGCGCTTACTCATTGCAACGGATCTTTTGACTCCAAGTTCACATATATACAATAGTTTTCATTGGTCTCTGCAACTAATTCTACCGATCTCTTGTTGAAGTTCATTCGATTGAATGGTCGGATTTCTTTTTACTTCGCGTCTCTCTGGTTTTGTCAATTTGCTCTCCTCTATGTCGATGAATCAACTTGCCTTCTAAGTGAATGATCACATAAGTGAGTGAAAATCCAAGTCAATGTCGAACACAATACGCGTGAATGCTTGAAACTAAAAAAGATTACACCAATCATGATTTTGCCGGATTATTGCGCTCATACTCTTGCTTTTCTAACCCCGATCAACTAGATCTTGTTATAGAAGAGTTAATGAACAATGTCATCAAAGTACGATTCTTTTCATTGATGATTAGATTCATTACTCACCTGACACGACAACATAATTTGATCGCGTAAATGCAAACTACATTGAAATGGAAACTACATACCCTTGTATTAACAACACGAGGGTATGTAGAAAAAGTCATCATTTGGTTTAAAATCCATCAAACTCAGTTACTTGTTCATATCGACTAAAAGCAGCAAGCTTTTGCTCCATTTCGACTTTCGTTGATTGCACTTTTTTTCTATGCATCATTTCACCACACAAGCAGCTATTGCTTTTCGTACTATTTAAGAGTTAACTACTTTTGTATTTCAGCAGCAAAATGTCTTGGATAACTTTGTGGCAACTTTAATTGTCGACGTTGGAGTAATTGTACTACTCAACGCATAATCTATTGCAAATGTTGATCTATCGATTCAAGTTATAGCCGGTCATTATGCGGTCGCTTTGTCTAGTGTTCAAGCACTTACTTGACAAAGCCGCTGAAAGTGATCGAACCAATTTTCAACAAAACATCTTTTTTGTTTACGTCACTACATGTTATCGGGTTTGTGAAATTTGTGCTTATCGAGATCAAAACAACAACGCAATGATTGATTTTGTGTAATTTCCCTAGTGCTACCACATGAGCTCATCAAGCTATATTCAGTAGATATTATCCGAAAAGATTCGGCAATATTTTTTACGATTGAAACATTCTTGTTCATCTAATCAGATAAATATCATAAATGATAAGCACAAAACTTTAATCCATGCTCATAGACGTGAGTCAAAGATTAAGACAGTCATCGATTTGCTTTCCAGTAATTCAAGTTTCAAGTATGGCTGGTTTTCATTTGATGCTCGATTTTCGTATATGATCATTTATCGTGGTGTAGTTGCAAAGTTTTTTTACTAGAGCCAATACGGTAGAGTCTCATTTTTCAATTTTGCGTTGGGAATAAGATTTGTTTCTCAAAATATGATCAAAATTTGGATTAGATCAAACAGATTTTGTTCATACAATAACATAGACAAATGCTTAGTATAAATTTTGTATTGAAAACCTTTGATTAGATTTATTCATGAAGTCAAAACAATTTTTGTTTTGACTATGTTTTGTTCTATGAATAATATTTGTTCATATATGTTTAGTACAAAATTTGTAGTGAAATTGGTAAAATTTTTTTTTATAAAGAAGACTAAACTAATATAAATTAAATTTTAAAGTGACTAAATTAGCCTAAATTAAATTTTTAAAGAAGACTAAATTAAACATATTTAGATAATTTAGGCGAAGAATTATTATAACCATGCTTGTCTATGTCTTGTACTTTGATAGAATAACATTATTTTTTTTTAATACTAATCAATTGTAAGACATATCCAACTTTTTTGCTTGCTATGTATCTATACTCACCCCCAAATCGGGACAAGTTAGAGGGAGCTTTACTATGACTATTGAATCGATGTCAAGCTCTTGCTTCATGTAAAACAATCTTACACATGAAGAATGAAAATGTAGATAGATCACTCAATTTTAGACATAATCTCATATACTTTGATTGAATAATTGATGTCAATAAAAAAAATCAAATCCATGGCCAGTTTCTTATTTATTAAACCTACATCTTTTCCGAAGCAAACTCATGAAAGATATTGTGCAGTACCAAGAAGTTCTGATAACATCCAGATGGGATGAAATAATTATTTCATCGAGGAAATGAAATAATTATTTCATCAACTTAAACAATTCAAAACTCTGATCTAATCGATAATCAAGTAAGAAAACGCGTGAGCTCTAGAACTACGCCATGATTACATCTTCTGTGTGGAAATAGAATGCATGTTAAAGATCTAAATATGAATATATTTTTTCTCTCATACATCCTTTTGATACTTCCAGATGCGTACAGTAAACTAGATGATAATAAAAAAGTTGAAGCTGATTTTATATGTATTGTTCAAGACCATTGGGGGTTGAATGGGTCATCCGTCTAGGATTACGATGGAAACAAGTGAAGGGCATATTGTGAGGAACATTTAATCTTCTTTTGAGTCATTATGCATGTGAGTCGCATTCATTTTCACTGAGTACTTACTCATTAAAGATCTGGAAGATATACCGTGATATAGCAATAAGGATCAATCTTAAGATACTTTAGAGATAAGCAAACACATTGATTTTTCTCCATACTCCATAGTGTCACCATGAATAACATATTTTACTATGCATCGTACCTATTTATAATGAACATAATATTTAATAAATCATAGAAACAAAACAGTGCAAAAATGTGTATAAAATTCTCGGTTTAAGTTGGGAGTGGACATGAAGCGACGTACAGCGTGTGATCGGTGAGATAACTTTCCGTCTCCAGTCGCCGCTCAGCTCATCTTTGCCTATGCGGGAATACGGTAAGCAGATGCGTTTTCCCGGTACAGGTAATCGGAAATGTCCACCAAGGGGTTGTGGTTTTGACGCAAACGAAACCCCGCGAACCAGAAGCTGAAGACGCGGACTGGCCTTCGTCCTGGCGCGCTCGCACGCGGGAAACCGAGTTCGAACGAGGGGTACGAGCAACCGGCACTCCGAGGAAAGTGGAAGTGGCTCGATGCAAGCATCTCGATCACAAAGAGCTCGAGGACGATCGGCTGGCTCGTTGTTTTTCTTCGTTTCGGGAGTTCGGGTTGACCGCGCTCGTTTTGGCGTCGTGTGCCAAGTTGAGCTGAACTTCCACTGAGGGGACCGAAGCGCGAGTGTGGGAGAAAGGGGCGGTGTGTACAAGGGTGGCAGGTGAGAGTCGTGTGCTGGATTCCTCACCCTCGTCTCGAGAAGGAGCCGCATGTTATTACTCATTCAGTTCTTGTGACTCTCTCCTTCATGCTCTTTTATTGTGATCTCTAAATGCTTGCAGCTCTATCGGCCGTGTACAAGTAGAACGCGATGGGAAAACTTACTGTCGCTACTGTTTGCTCTCCAGGTATCGACTCTTCGGGAATCCTCAGCTACCGTAGTCTTCAGTGATAAAAGTCAACTATTCTTCCGTCGGGATTCTCTTCCTTGATTGGAGGCAAAGGTATGAGAAATGGCCAAAAGATCGTCATTGTGTTTTAGCTCACTTTCGGGTTCAGTTTAATGATCTCTGCTTTTTGTCCGTCCCGTTGCCAATGAATTTGTGAGATTTCAAGTGTCCCTGCATCGATGGTAAATGAAGTTGGATTCTATCCAGAGTCGTCGCCTTCACCCTCTTGCAGGATGAAGACGGGCCTGATGCTCACAATATTATTGCCTCATTTTTTCTAGAGTTCGTAGGCACACTGGTAGCAGACATTTACATGTCCGTGTCTGCTTTCACGTGTGGAAGGTCTAGAATTGTACCTGCAGGAAGTCCTCCTTGTGTCGTTTGCCCTGCCCTCTTGCTAGCATAGTCGATATTCTGGTTTGCAGAATACATTATTTGTATTGGTGGATATATCTGAATTGTCGGTCTCCTCGTTGGACGCTTTGGGAGAATGGTGGATGCCGGCTCTTTTGGATGTCGAGAAACGATGGTCTTCTTGAAGCGAAACTGATAGCCTTTCTTCTGATATCGCAGCTCGTGGAAGGTCTGTGGAAAGCTCTTCAAAATGTTGGAGCTACGATTGGTACAGGGTAGTCTGCTCAAGAAGGTCTTAGATGCAATCAAAGATTTGGTGACAGATGCTAATTTTGACTGTTCCGAGTCTGGCTTCTCCCTTCAAGCCATGGATTCCAGTCACGTAGCCTTAGTGGCTTTACTGCTCAGGTCCGATGGTTTCGAGCATTACCGTTGTGACCGCAATCTATCCATGGGAATGAACCTGACAAACATGTCGAAAATGCTGAAATGCGCGGGAAATGACGATATCATCACCATTAAGGCGGATGATGGTGGTGACTCTGTAACATTCATGTTCGAAAGCCCGAGTCAAGACAAGGTATCTGACTTTGAAATGAAGCTGATGGACATCGACAGCGAGCATTTGGGTATTCCTGAGACAGAGTACCATGCAATTGTGAAAATGCCTTCAGCTGAATTCGCTCGTATTTGCCGGGATCTAAGTACCATTGGAGACACAGTTGTGATATCTGTCTCGAAGGATGGTGTGAAGTTCTCTACATCAGGAGACATTGGTAGTGCGAATGTTGTCTGTCGACAAAATAACAGTGTTGACAATAAGGACAACGAGACCGTGATTGAAATGAACGAGCCAGTGTCGCTGACATTTGCTCTTCGTTATCTCAACTCTTTCACCAAAGCAACCACACTTTCTAACACCGTGACACTCAGTATGTCCAAAGAGTTACCTGTTGTTGTAGAATACAAGATTGCAGAAATAGGACACATTCGGTTTTACCTGGCTCCCAAGATTGAAGACGAGGAGGAGACTCAGGCATAGGTACTCCAATATGTAAGTAGGTGGCGAGGACTCTGTATCGGAAATTTCTTGTTTCTGAATTTAAAATTCTGGATACTGCAACGAGTGTGTCACAGGCAATTCATTTTCGGACTGCAGTAATGCGATTCTCCACTTTGTAGCTTCTCCTGATTGCTGCCTCTAAGGAACCATGCGTGTATCTGCAATGTATATGAGACAGTCCTTGGAATTGAATGTGGAGCAGATGCCTTCATGTAGAGTTCTGCGACGCCTGTGCTGGGAAGTCCTCCGGTCTGCACCACCGAGGCTCCGTTGGGTCAAGTCGTCGTACAGTAACAGGCAGTTCACGTCGAGCATAGTCTACGTAGAATAAGTCTCTGCTTTGCTCGCTGGTGCCCTAATCTTGTCCAAACCTGCCCATATTCTTGCTTCAAAGTTTCGGTTTCTTTTTATCAGTCCTCCGTGAACTTGATGGAGAGGCTGTGAGGACTGCATCCGAAACCCTCGAAGCTGCTTATATTCAACAAACCCACACACCAAGTCAAACTCGTTGCAGTTTGAGGAAAAGGAAGAGCATTCACATTATGTTACAGTCCGGAATGCCGGTTGGAAGATGATACCAGTCTTGTTGAAGTATTGTGAGCCAGGTGGCTGATTCTGATGGGTCGGTCACCCTGCCTCTGCAATGCAACTTACAAGGATGGCAGCGTCGTAATCTCTTCAACCACGCGAGGTGGAGTGATTTTGACCTACGATATCTACTCAGGGTGCAATCGACACTGCATGCTTCAAATTCCCGAATACAGGAAGAGACTCGAGGGCCGGTCAAATACAAAGGTATCAAAGAACCATCCTTTCCCTTGAGCCTAGTACAGTTTAATTTTGACACAATGGGTGGGGTGTTGACCCCGAAGGCGAGGGTAATTTAAACTTCCCAGGCCGAGTCATGAAGAACATTGTGATGCTTGCAGAAATGCAAACGGGGAAAGAATATTACATCACCGTAAAAAAAAACTGCATCTTCGGAAATTTGTTTCTCCGATCGAAAGGAATCAAGATACACCTGATCACGTATCTTGAGGCTTGTGTACATGCCTCAGTTATTCTCCAGCCTGGGAGTGTCTATTCCACTGAGCATCTTCGGAAATTTGTTTCTCCGATCGAAAGGAATCAAGATACACCTGATCACGTATCTTGAGGCTTGTGTACATGCCTCAGTTCTTCTCCAGCCTGGGAGTGTCTATTCCACTGACATTCCTGCCGTTGTACGAGATCCCGGCAATGCCGCATTTTGCTGGAAACTCCGGTCTGGACCAGAAGGTTTGTGCGGCATCTATGGTTGTAAGAAACTTGCATAAGCTTGAACAAGAAGTCGTTTCCAACAATCTTCAGCCTCAACCTAAACCTATTTGATGTTTTTATTTTTATTTTAAACAATCAACCTTGTTTCATATTTTAACTAGTCAATTCGAATGATATGTCTCTCTCTTGTATCTTATGGATAGAGATGTGATTTGTTGAATGTATCTTATGATACACTCAACAAATCACATCTCCATCCATCAGTTCGAATTCAGAGGATTTAGAACACACGACTATTGTTTACAATTACATTGTACATCCAAGCGTAACGAACTAGAAACTTGGACTATATGTATACTAAGAGTATGGATAAAAACCTTTATTAACTATCTGATAAGAAACACTTGGTCATCTTAAATCAAGTAAATTATTGACTTACATCTATAAACAAGAACCAAACTTAACGAAGTGATAAAGAAAAAAAAAATGTGGATAGTTTATGGAATAGATGGGAGAAATTAGTAGATTGTACACTGATGAAAATGGCGTATAAAGTAAATTCAAAGAGAATAGAGATGGGGTGGAAATAGAAGATAAATTGTCCAAGAGCTATGGGAGCAAAGAGATATAGAGGTCTATGAAGGTGCAAGAAGTCTTGATATCATTGTAGTTCAAACGGCTGATGCAAATGAAGCATTTTTGGATATTAACTATTTGGATAAACTAAGTGTGTTCAGGAAGGAAAGAGTACATTAGCTATGGCAATCTTCTACTTTTTGTTATGATACAGATTTTCAAACTTATACACTTATCCAAAAGTTTGTCTTTTAACTACAAAAAAGTTAAACTCCAGTACACTATTTCAGGAATATCATGCTTAGCAAAACATGGATCCAACCATGTTTTTGCTGATTACTTTCTACATTTGGACTCTAGTCATGAATAATGAAAAATATGCTATAATATGAATAATTACTTACATGATTAGATTATTAGATTAAGTATCTTAGATTGATGATTCTCTAGATCATATTTATCTAATGTGATAAATATGATACATTATCACTTTAGAGTGTAAGAAATTAATACAAATTTTGTTTTAGCATATGTTAGCTTAATAATAGTTAGTTTATTTGGTTAATTTTTTCCTATGTAAAAAAGCTTACAAAAGTTCTCAACGATACATTTTAGAGTTTTTCTAAAAGAGCCAAGAATGTTTTGGTGTATGTAGCACGTAGTGGTATTTCATGTATATTCAAACATGCGTAAAATAAGCAATTGGAGACCGCGTCGCCAAAATTCTGTAAATCTTTATCCTGCTGTTGTGCATAAATTAAACAGTTATGTATATATGCAAGAGAGGTTGCTATTTGAAAAATTGAGTGTCCTAGAATTTGAGTTCAGTTTACTGTGTAGTGTCCAAGAATGTTTGATTGATTTGACTTCTAAAACTGACTTCTTATTGAAAAAATGAAAGTAATTAAAACAATTTTCAACACAACATCGTCCGCGTTTAGATTGAGTAAACATGCGATGGCGTAATTCATGAAACTTTTGTTTATCAAAATTGAAACAACAATGCAATGATTACTGTTGGTTTTATATTCTATTGCTAGAACATGAGCTTGTTAAGCTATCTGCAGTTGATTTTATCTAAAGATTTGATAACATGCTTTCTCATTAAAACATTGTTATTTATCATCTCAAATCAGTATCGTTGAGCTATTCGCAATTGATTTTACCCAAAAGATTTGGCAACATGTTTTCTTGTTGAAGCATGATTATCCATTAGCTTAGATCAATTTCATTACTGACGAGCACAACATCCAAATCCATGCTCATAGATGTGATTAAGTCTTGAAGTACAACATTTATTTGCTTTCTAGTAGTTGAAATTTCAAGTACGTTTGATCTTTATGATTATTTGATTTCCAAATCTGATGAAATATTGTGGTGTCATAGCAATAAGTTTCTCTTGAACTAGTTGTAGAGTCAAAATTTTCGATTCTTTGTGTAGAAAAAAATTGATACAAAAAATTTTATCAAAATTTGGATAAGAAAAAGTCAAAACATTTCATATTTAGAGAGAATTTTCAGCATTGATAAATGCTAACCAATAATTTTTATGCTAAGTAAATCATTCATCTTGTTTTCACATATTTAATCATTTTTGATGATTCTAGATCAAGTTTATTTAGATAATTCATACGATTGTTTAACATAAACATGATTTTGTATGTTAAGTGTGAATTTTGCGTGTGTTTTCAATTCTTGTGTTGATTTTGTGAATTATGTGTTTGAATTTTTTTCCTAATAATTAGTAGAAGAGTGAAACATGCATGCCATGAAGTTGATATGTTTTGTGTTTGCTTTCATGTTTTAACTTGAGAATGAAGATCTGAGTGCAAATTGATCTTCAAAAGCTACTAAAGATTTTGATGTGAGTGACTTTGTGAGTAAAATAAGCAGATTATTGTGATTGATTATGAATTATTTGCATTGCAACAATCTAACCTTAAAGTTTACCAATTTTTATGATCTGTGTTTTAAAGATTACGCTGTAGTGTTGAATTAGATCAATTCATGGATGATTTTGTTAAATCACAAATATTACGGTCAATTTTTTTTTTCTTATTCTTGTCTTGTTTGCAAAGTCATACATTATCTCAAACATTGCATGAATTTTCTTGCGCACCAAAAATTATAAGAAGAATCGCATAAGAGCATAGTTCTACTGAAATAATGAGTCTCAAGATGCTATTTGTTTGTGGTTTTGTTATTATTATTCTTTGATGTCATAAACAAAAAAGTAAAAGATTACATATTTATTTGGATTGAGACATTGTGTAACCATCTTTAATTAATTAGAATGACAGTAGAGATTAGTCAAGATTGAGTAGAGTAGATGATAATGGAATATCTATCGTATCACGTTAACATTTCGTGTCATAGTTGAGTGTGCTATTTAGTGTGTTAGTTGAAAACGACACGTCATCAATCTGTGTGCTTGTTAGGTAAGATTGAGTGTGCTAGTTGATAACAACACGTCAGCAATCCGTGTGCTCATTAGGTATATCCGAGATGTCATCAATCCACTAGGATTAAATTGGATGGAATGTCAAAAACTTATCTCCTTGTACTTGTTGGTAAGAGTTATATAAAAAAAAGTAAAGACATTCTTGATATTTCACATCTTCAAATTTTATATTTACATCTTCGAGTGAACTTCTCTCTAAACCCTAGTGTTCCACATTGTAGTTGAGTTATAAATATCATGTTTTTTTGTATTTTTACTTTAAAAAATCACATCTTAATAAGAAAAAGTAATAATTGCTATCATGATTAAAATCAAGAAATTAAAGATTAAACTTGACACAATGAAAGCTGGATTTTGAAAAGTCTAGATTCTTTAGCAGAAAGAATCATTTTGCAATGTTGATAAATAGATTAACTATATTTGATTGGAAACAAATGACAAAATAAAAAGTTTATGAGAAGTGATTGAATGTGATAACTCACAAACTACTTGAGCAATACATCATTTGAGCAAATGCGAGGTGCTTCAACAAGGGCAGTAAAGACTTATGCGCAAATATAAATCATTATTCTTATGATATGTGTAAACTTCAAATACCTTAAAATGAAAATTTTCATACGAATGGTTTGTTTTTGTGACAAAAAACGTGCCCCTAAATCTATTAGTTCAATTTGCATTTAAAATTGTAATGAAACAATATTCTTGATGCCAAAAAAATCTGCGCTCCAATCTTTTGTAACCATCTTTAGTTAGTTAGAACTAAAGTAGAGGTTACTCTGAATATTGATGTAGATACTTTAGTGTG